ACCCCACTTCTTCGTTGGATGTCCTGGCATCATCATCTACTTTGAAGCTCGGCCACGCCAGATCTGCTTTTGACAAACTGCATGCTTACGCGTGTCAACTCCTGACACGTCAACCTTCAGAATCTACCAGACTCCAACAGTGTGATGTCCGCAATAAAAAGGATTACTATTACTTTTGGCAATTTGTTGGTCATCCTTGATGATTGCAATTATGAATAGAATTATTTATCAATTCTTTAATTATATTTTTAGATAACAATTAATAACTAATACATGTATATTTGTGCTAAGAAAATTTAGTCACACTGTTTTATTTTTTTCCTTACAATCAAGATTATATATTCATTTTAATGTGATTTTGAGCATATGTTTACAATATAGCTAATGTGGTAGATTTTTATTTTTAAAACTATTTTTATTTTTTATAATTCTACATTAAAATCTATTTTTTTAACTATCCACAAGTATTATTTTAGCCGTTAAATTAAGTTTCCAACATACTAATTTATGGTTGGTATAATTTTGGGTCATGTGTAATAAATTTTTAATGAAAATAATGATCAATCAGATTGTTGAAATCTTAATTCATCGATGAAATTTATAATATTTATCAATAGTTAAAATAAGAAGATTAAATTCTACCGTAGAAATTTCTTATTGTTTTTTTTTTCTTTTTTTGTATTTTTTGGTATTTTTTATTTTTTATTTTTTATTTTTATTTTTTTTTTGCTAATCCTACTTTTTTTTTGTACTTAACTTGCAATGCTAAACTTCCTTAGGCTGAAACTTGATGGTACTCTACATTTGGTGTACGATTATGAAATCTTCATACACATAAATTTTGCTTAGTTCTCACCCTAGACTCTATAAATACGTATAGAGCGACGTTACTTCCTGGCCATCTGTTTGTTTGGACGGTGATGATGGGAAGCATACCGAGATTAAACAAATATCATGCCAAAAGAAAGCAAAGTGAGGGCACAAACTTGGAGGGATCAACATATTGGGGTTAAATTCTACTATCTCGAGAACCACCAAAATTCAGTGGTCTCCTCACACAAATCGAAAGTCTTATATATATTCACACATAACTCAGTATCTTATTGGGCGAGGACATTTTCACTATGTTAGGTACGCACACAGGGGATAATAGCACCGAGTTTGACGGAGACATTCCACGTAAGCGACGACGTCGTTTCCATTAGAAAGGCCTTGTTTGGCACTTTCATAAAATAAAGAAACGAAGAAACGTTTTGAGAAAAATGCTTCTGATTTTGTTGATGTGTCAGGAAATGTGGACAAGGGACGAAGCATAAAAGATAAGCAGAGACAAACAGTGAGATAACGCCTCCAAAAAAAAGGTGACACTAATCCATTTGAACAAAAAAAAAAAAAAGTGTCCTAACCCAAAAAACATTTTGAGTTAAGGCTTGTGGGGATGGCCATAGTATGCTAGGCGACGATTGTCAATTAGAGAAGTGAGTAAAGCTAGGCGACGATTGCAAATTAGTGAAGTGAGTAAAGGGTTGTTCTCAAAGGTCTCCTCTTGGCCTTTTGATAGGGTCCCGTGGTGGTCAAGGTATAGGTCGTTATAAAGTGTCCAACATGTATCACGTGAGACGCTCACTCGTAAGTGTTCAGAGTTGTCAGAACGCCTTTTTATCTAATATATATATATTTTTTTTGTGCGCGCATGTAAAAAGATATAAAAGTATGCATGGTCCCATGATATGACAAACAGTTAAAACTAACACAATATATGTGATCTTATGTTGGGATAAATAGTTTAAATTATTATTGTTAGATATTAAGTTCGATAATTTAGCATGCTTATAACAATGGAAAAAAATAAACATTAGTGGTTGTTGCAGATCATTCTCTCAAAACTTTCAAGTGGATTCTCATGTTAAACATACAAAATCACTTGATCCGATTGAGAATTGCTAATCAGATCAATTGTATTCATAATGATTGACACTAGTAAAATTCTCAAAAGTCGTTAGCTTTAAGAACACTGCGTTTATGATAAAATTGTTTTCACCAATTTTCAGGTACGTAAAGGTAAAACTACTACAAATTGTCTTATTGGGGCCTAGAGAACATCATTTCTATGATTATTATTTATGTCGCAATTCCCATCCTCTAGATGAGAAACAATTATTTTCATATGTAACACGTATTTTTTCTTTTTTGTGTGTGTTGAGAAAATTTTTTATAATGTGTTAAATTGGAAAAAAAGTTCTATTATGCATGCTAACTAAATTGAAATAAGACTAGCAAAATGACATCCTTTTGAAACTTGAGGCAAAAACTACAAGCATGAAAAGATTAATCTTATAGTTTGATGTGACAATTGGATTTTTTTTTCTGGCCAGAAGATGTGACACTTAAATTATTATGTTTTCTTGTTGGTCCATATATACGTATGTATTTTTCGAGAATGTCAAAAAACATCGCCATTTAAGGTTGGTTTTAGTGACACGTTCCGGGAAAACAAATCATAAAATTAAAAGTTAAGAAACAATAATGAGTTAGGTTCACATAATTCAAGTGTAAATAAATATATTTTATCCAAAGGTGTGATTCAATTTAGAGTCATATCACTTGTATTATTCACTTCATAACAAAGATTATCAACTACCAAAACCACAATTTATCCATATATTGCTTGGCACGAGGAAAAAATATTACACATTTCTTTCTTTCTTTTTTTTGGTCTAAGGAAAAACTAAATTTGATTTGATACGAGTCACTCTCTTAGTTAACCAAACACGGTTCATTTTTATTTACTTCCAGAAAATTTCCAAAAACCAAAAACAATATAATAATGCTACTGATAAAAATGCCTTTTTTATAATATAATAAAAGATATGAAAATGAAAACAGTGAAAAAATAAACACAATCCAAATAACCCCGGATTCCAAACAGATCTTGTGTTATTAATTTATTTTCTATATTCATCTATGATTCTGAATCATGATTCATGATTTTTTACAGTGTTTTTCTCTCACAAAAAATACGCATAAAATGAGAATGATTCTAAATCATGATTCTAAATACATAAACTAAACGTCCTCTTAGATACGCATGCCTATGTCCAAAGAAAGACACTCTCTCTTTAGGAAAGAAAAAGATTGTTATGTCTTTTCTCTATTTTTGAATTATTATCACTAATACTCTTAAATTTTAAGGTCATTTCAGTTTGTTCTTTACATTTTAAAAACTTTCACTTTACTTTCTAAACTTTAAATTGCTCTCAGTTAACCTCTTATGTTGTAATTTTTGTTAAAAACGGGTAGAAAAAAGAGAGTAATGAAGTCACATGATATTTATATTTGAATTTTTAATAAAACTAAATTGATAAAAACTATATAGCCACACTTAAATGGGATGAATTTAAAATTTAAAGGACAAAGTGAGAGTTTTTAAAATTTAAAAAATCAAGTAGGAATGACCCAAAATTATTTTAATGATTCTGCGATAGTTAAATAATAATTTAAGAAATAGCACCCAAACTTTGACATTTATCTAACTTTGACCCTAATTTTCACTTTCACATTGCATATTTAAGCTATCATACAATTAACCCTCCGTCCTATTATGTAACATTACACGTCAGACGTGACCATTTTCCATTCAAATACTAAGGGTCCTTTCGGCAGAGATCTTGCTTTTATTTTTAGCTGGTAGAAGAAGAGAAGTAAAAGTTGTGACTTTTTAGTAAGTATTTAAAACAAAGAGCTTAATAAATCAAAATGATTTTTAAATTTTTTAATAAATAATAAAAGTGTTAGAATTAAGTTATAATGTCTTAATTAAACTCTGGTATAAGTTTTAAAATTTATTCAGAAGTGTTTTTTTTAGAAGTTATAATTTCTAACTTTAACTAAAAACTCTTCTAAAAAACTAAAATACTTCTACAGATCATTTAAACACTTTTACAAGTAGCTTTTAGAAACCTGTACCAAATATGCTCTAATTGAAGTTGATTGAGCCACGAAGAGACTAATTACATATACGTCGGCCTCGTTCACTTCACTGATTCGAGTTTTCAGTTTTAAGTTTCTACAGTAAAAAGCTCTCAGAAAATATCATATCTAACTTTTTTTACTACGGTAAAAAGCTCTCAGAAAATGTCACATCTCAGCTCGAATTGAAAACTCGAATTCGCGAAGTGAACGAGGCTATGTAAAAGTGAAAACCGAATGATAAAGCGGGACAAATATCAAAATTCAGGATGATTAAACAACGTTAATAAGCACTAATGGTGACAAATACCATAGAGTAATAGAAAGTATATCCCGTAACATTACATTCAGAGGCGTGACCTATCTTCTGAGAGTTTTCAGTGCTTCACAGCGGTGTTCTTAAGCATTTTTTATTTATAATAAAATTAAGTTGCCACGTGTCATAATTGCCACGTGTCAGACCACGTAGATACGACTGTTGCCAACCCAAAATTCAATTTTCAATTTTTTCAAAAAAGGAAAATCCTTAATTTTTGTTTTGCTTTGTAAGAAGTTGCAGAGAGGTAATAGTCAGGTAGAGAGAGAGAGAGAGAGGAGAGAGAGAACCAAAAGGAAAAAAGGGAGCCGGTCCAAGACTATTCTTCTTCTTCTTCTTCTTCTTCTTCTTCTCAGTCCAGTTCGCTTCTTGTAATTTTATTCTCTCTCTCTAAATTCCCGAGAAAATGCTCATTCCTTTGAATTCCTCGTTCGCCAGTCCAGTTCGCTTCTTGTAATTTTATTTTCTCTCTAAATTCCCGAGAAAATGCTCATTCCTTTGAATTCCTCGTTCGCCTAATCCCCAAATCCCAACCCACATTGCCGTTCAATTTTGGCGATTTTCCAAGCCTCTAATACTTTTGTAACTTCAATCCCTAACACACCTGAATAATTTCGAATTTGTGCTTTCTTTGAATCTGTAATTAATTCGGTTGAAGCTCAATTCCAGCACTGTTCGAATTTTCCTGTTCGATTTCACCTGTTTTACGTTGAATTTCTGTTTGGATATTGTATATTTTTTTGGTTGTTTCTATTTAAGGAGGAAGAAAGAATTTGGGAATTGAAGGATCTCGGTCTTCATTTTTGGGGATCGGAAACTTGATCTGGTCGGTGGTTTGTTGAATTGATCGGTTTGGATCGGATCCGGGTAGAAACAGCGCCATCCGATGGCGCTGTTCCGACGGTTCTTTTATCGGAAGCCGCCGGATCGGCTTCTGGAAATCTCCGAGAGGGTCTACGGTACGTGAACTTTTGTAATTCTAATATGAAAAGTATGCATTTTTCTGGTTATTTTAGCTGAGGAATTGCTTTTCACCAGCTCAATTTTCTATTTTTGAAACTTTTGTGTTGGTTTGGGACAATGCCACTGTAGGATTGAACCGAATTGAGTAGTTTTGCTTCAGAAATTTAATGGGGGCTTGGTCAAGTTGTCATGTGTCTTGTTTCACTTTTTTTTTCTGCAATTGAATTATTTTGAATGGTGGGAAAAGGCAGTTTGGAAGTTTTCATGAATGTGTATGATACTAACTTGACTAAGAGGAAGATTAGGAAGTAGACAATAGTCAGTACAATCCATATTTACTTGTAGCCTTAGTGCTTAAACAAACTGATTCTCTCACTCTTCCTGAATTTAGAAGGTTTTAGAATTTATTCAGGAAATGAAACTGAACAAGCATTTTTTCCCCTGCTTTTAGTGGCTCCATTATCTTTAACTTTCATCTAGCATTGTAATGTTTGTGTTTTCGGGTTGCGGAATGCGAGGGCAATTCATTAGCGCATGCCACATAGTTCGTTTTAATTCAGCTTATATTGTTGATTCCTAGTCCAAAATTTTGAGTTCAAATGTTTCTTTTTCTCTCTCTTAAAATGCAGTATTTGATTGCTGCTTCTCCACTGACGTGTTGGAAGAAGATGAGTACAAAGTTTACTTGGGTGGCATTGTACCGCAGCTGCAAGACTACTTTCCTGATGCTTCCTTCATGGTTTTTAACTTCAGAGAAGGGGTGAGGCGCAGTCAAATATCAGACGTGTTGTCTCAGTATGACATGACGGTTATGGATTACCCTCGACAATACGAGGGTTGTCCACTGCTGCCGCTGGAGATGATCCATCACTTCCTTCGGTCGAGTGAGAGCTGGTTGTCATTGGAGGGGCAACAAAATGTGCTGTTGATGCACTGCGAAAGAGGTGGATGGCCCGTCCTCGCTTTCATGCTTGCGGGTCTTTTGTTGTACCGAAAACAGTACACCGGGGAGCAAAAGACCCTTGAAATGGTATACAAGCAGGCTCCTAGGGAACTTCTCCATCTGTTGTCTCCTTTGAACCCACAGCCTTCTCAGCTGAGATATCTTCAGTACATCTCTAGAAGAAATTTGGGTGCTGATTGGCCCCCTTCTGATACGCCTTTGTTTTTAGATTGTCTGATACTTAGATTTATACCTCTTTTTGACGGGGGCAAAGGTTGCCGGCCTGTTATACGTGTCTATGGTCAAGACCCTTCAACACCAGCCAACAGAAGTTCTAAGCTTTTGTTTTCAACGTCAAAGACGAGAAAACAAATTCGCCATTATGGACAGGTACTGAATTTCAGAATTGAAGTTAAAAAATTGATTTAAAAAAAAAGAAATGAAGTATTCTTATGAAATCTAACTGCAGGCAGAATGTATGTTGGTGAAAATCGATATTCATTGCCGTATTCAAGGGGATGTTGTTCTTGAGTGCATCCACTTGGAAGAAGATCTTGTACGTGAGGAGATGATTTTCAGAGTTATGTTTCATACAGCATTTGTACGTTCTAACATATTGATGCTTAATCGCGATGAAATCGATGTTTTATGGGACGCCAAAGATCAGTTCCCTAAGGAGTTTAAAGCTGAGGTAGGTTGTTAAATATTCTTCTCTGGTTGTTGTTCTTTTAAGGTGTTGAAGTTGAAGCATACTCATATCTGTAACAGGTACTTTTTTTGGATGCTGATGCTGTTGTCCCCAGTGTCACCACAGTGGTGGCGAGTGAAGATGGAAATGAGACAGAAGGTGCTTCTCCAGAGGAATTTTTTGAGGTCGAGGAGATTTTTAGCAATGCAACGGATGGGCATGAAGGGAAGGGTGACTTTGATACTCCTAGGGCTCGCGCTAGCGCACACGAAGATTTAGTTCATAAAGAGGTTTGGAAGGAGGATTTTGATCCTCATGCATTCCAAGACTGTACATCAGATGATGGAAACTACAAACAGGATAGAAGGGTGGATTCTAAGTTCGGTGCAGTAAAGGACATTGCTGTGGATGATGTAAAGTATAAGCTGGATGAAAAGGTGGATTCAGATTCTAATGAAGTAAAAGATATCGCTGTGGATGAGGGTGATACCAAAACAAATCGCATGTTAGTTGGTGAGGTTAGACATGCCATGACTAAGGAAGTGACGGGAGATGTTTATGAAAAGTTGGAAGAGATGGAACATAAAGTTGATGACGAAGATACTGCTATACAAAAGAAGTTAGAATCCAAGGGTCCACAGCACAAAATGAGTGTTGATAGACAAAAATCCGACAAATTACAACCTGCTGCAAGGAAACAGCCAACATCAAATACAAAACCAGCTGCAGATACAAGTGTAACGAAATACAAGACTAAGCAGCAAGAATCTCCGGGTAAAACGGCAAAGCCAGCAGTGTCTAGATGGATACCTTCTAACAAAGGTTCTTATACCAATTCATCGCATGTATCATATCCTGCCAATGCCGTGCATGTATCACATCCCCCATCAAGATACAATAGTGCTCCTGCAGCTTTTTCCGGGTCTGCTACTTCAAAGGATTCTAATGCAAATACAAAATCTAGAACTTCTTCTCTTGCTGGCACTCCCTCAAATATGGTTTCTAATGATGTGGGAAATGAGCTGAAAAGTCCTACGGATAGTGCAAAGCCTTTAGACACTTTACAAGAGAAGGTTACCAGCCAGGCATCATCAGTCCAACCAGTCCAAGAGACAACTTCTTCTTCTCCAGGTTCGGCAGTGGCACATGTTTCCGGACAACAAATAGTGCCCCCTGCTCTTCAATTGTCTTCTACAGCTCCACCTTCCCCGCCCCCACCCCCGCCCCCGCCTTTTTATAGTAGCTCTTTCCTGCATGTGCGTCCTGTCCAAACTCCATCATCATCCCAATCTTTGCGGGTAGGTACAGTACCACCTCCTCCTCCCCCTCCACCACCACCACCACCACCATTTCAAAGTAGTAATGCAGCCTTTTCAAAGCCCTCAACTGTGTCTTTGCCTTCACCTCCACCTCCCCCTCCGCCTCCACCACCCCTTCCTTCGTCCACACCTCTTATGTCGTTTGGTAGACCTTCCCCACCACCACCACCTCCTCCTCCTCCCTTTGCATCTAGTAGGCAAAGTAGTGGGACTCTGTTGCCTCCATCACCATCGCCCACTAGCTGGATGTCTGTATCTGCCCTTGTTGGTACGACAACTTCTCAAGCTCCACCTCCACCTCCACCTCCACCTCCTCCTCCCTTTTCCCTTAATGCGTCAAGTACATCAAAGCTTAGTAAAAATGGAGCTGGAGTACCAACTCCACCTCCTCCACCACCTCTACCACCTTCATCTATGCGTAGTACGCCTCCACCACCACCGCCACCACCTCCCTCCCTTCCTTCACGTGGAGCTCCACCTCCACCACCTCTCCCTCCTTTGTCTGGAGCTCCACCCCCACCCCCACCTCCACTTCCTTCACGTGGAGCTCCACCTCCTTCACCACCACCTCTAATGCGTGGAGCCCCACCACCACCACCACCACCACCAATGCCTGGAGTTCCACAACCACCACCACCTCCAATGCGTGGGCCACCACCACCGCCACCTCCTCCAATGCGGGGTGCACCACCACCGCCACCACCTCCAATGCGTGGGACGCCACCACCAACACCTCCTCCAATGCGCGGTGCTCCTCCTCCACCTCCACCTCCAACTGGTGGAGGCCCACCTCCTCCACCTCCACTACACGGAGCACCACCTCCACCGCCTCCACCAGGAGGTCGTGCTCCTGGCCCTCCAGCTCCACCTAGACCTCCAGGTGGTGCACCTCCTCCTCCTCCCCCTGGCGGTGCCAAGGGAGTAGTTGCTGATGCAAGAGGCCTGCCTTCAGCGAGGGGGCGTGGGATGTCACGACCTACAGGGATGGGGGGTGCTGCTACTGCGGCTCGAAGATCCTCCTTAAAGCCACTACATTGGAGCAAGGTAACAAGGGCATTGCAAGGAAGCTTGTGGGAAGAATTGCAAAGATATGGGGACCCTCAAATGTATGTCAACTTCTGTTAGTTTTTATCGTTGTATCATTCAGCATTCGCAATACATTTCGATTTTTCAAATCCTTCAGAATTAGCAATGCATTTCTATTTTTTAACTTAAGTAGCGTAAATACATGTGCCCGTCTCTTTTTGTTTCATAATTCTTCCTTTCGTAATAACTGATGCAGCGTTCTTTTGTTCCAGTGCGCCAGAGTTTGATGTGTCAGAAATTGAGTCTCTCTTCTCTGCAACAGTCCCGAAACCTGCTGAATCAGGGGGTAAAGCAGGAGGGCGACGCAAGTCTATGGGATCCAAAACTGATAAAGTCCACCTGGTAAATTCATACAAACTGAATATCTTTGCTTAATGATTTGTTACTGAGAGAAATCATGCTGGTCAAATGTGATTCTTTTTGTCAGGATTCATACTAATGATTCCGTGTGCTTCATTCTTCCCCCCCCCCCCCCCCGGGGGTTGGTGCCCTTTATTCAAGTATATTTGAGCAGCGCTCTAGCATAAAGATTGCAATATTGTCTGGAATTTAAATAATTGCTCTCTTTTTCCCAAGATCTTTTGAAACACCTTTTTATCCCTTTGTGTGCGCGTGTATACACCTGCATAGTCTCAAATATTCTATCTCTATTCTGTTAAACGTTGGATGTAGACAAAGGACAGAAATACTTTGTAGAAGTTTCCCAGTGACTTGCCAATACGCATTTATTTGGAAATAAAGTATACTAGTTTTTCTATTTGCTAATCTTAGAAATAGAATGGCTTTTATTAATTTAGTTCGCACTGATGCTACTTATTTATAGTTGTTACAAAGGTGACATTGCTTCCAGATTTATGCATTTATTTATTGGTAATATGTTTTATTGTCATTGTTATTTTTTGCACTCAAAGGTTCACAATTGTAGAGCTCTATCAAGTATCATCTAACCTTCCACCTTTCATGTTACATGCTGTAGATTGACCTCAGGAGGGCAAACAATACGGAAATTATGCTCACAAAAGTTAAGATGCCACTTCCTGATATGATGGTAAGGTGCTATAGTTGAAACTCTTGGTCACTTGAATAATCTGGAAATGCAGATAGTTCTGATCCCTCGGAGAGTTGGACGTAGATTCTGGTTGTTTGCTATTGAATTTGACATACATGATAAGTGGGCTAGTCAATCTAATGCTGTTCGTGGCTTGTTTGTCAATTTTTCACTGAACATATGTGGTAGCAAATAGCGCTTTTCAACCTGGGGAGACAGTATCGATTTAGCAATCTTGCACTATCTGACAAAGAGTAGACCTGATTTTATTCTTCCCATTTTCTTTTTATTCTATATATATCTGCCACAAATATTCTTGCACTGTGCCTTTACTTTTTGGCTTTTATTTTTTGAGGGATAACATGTTTTTATGCTTTCTTTCTCTGCTGCATCTGTCCTGAAATTGTTTGAACTGTTCCTTTTATTCTGGGTTTTGATTATTTTCGAGTGATAAGGTGCTTTTGATGAGTGCCCTTTTAACGTATGGATATGCGTCTTGTCAGGCTGCAGTACTAGCAATGGATGAATCTGTATTAGATGTTGATCAGGTGGAAAATCTAATAAAATTTTGTCCGACTAAAGAAGAGATGGAACTTCTAAAGGTGAAGCTTTATTGAGAATTACACTATCATTCATTAGCTAGTCAGTGATTGAGTTTCATATCGAAGAGATTAATTGCTATGTTTACGTGCTTTTAGAATACAACAGTTTTATTTGTTTACTCTTTAATTTGCTTGGTCATAATCTCTCACTTAATTATTTAGGGCTACACAGGCGACAAGGAGAACCTTGGAAAATGTGAACAGGTAATCTTTACTTGCCTTGTTTGTTAGTGTGCAATATGAGCTGCTTTATTGTTGTTGGTACCATCCTTGCTGTTGCAGAGAATGAACAATTGATTCGTGTTATATGTGGTGTACGTCATTCTTGTCTAATTGAAATTGAGCCATTGTGCTTGTCAATTTGAGAGCACACATAATAATCTTTTTCTTTCAATTTTAGTTTACCTGGAGAAAGTTTTGAAAGTCATTTGTTGTGTTCTATCTTTTATGGTTTCAGTATTTCTTGGAGTTGATGAAAGTGCCTCGTGTGGAGTCAAAACTAAGAGTGTTTTCTTTCAAGATTCAGTTCAGCTCTCAGGTTTGGTGGTATCTTTCATGTTTCTCTTATGTTGGTTATATAACAATTTTGTCGTTCATCTTATTGGCACAGTTGTCTCATTGTCAATCTGTTTTTATAGATCTCCGAATTTAAAAAGAGTTTGAACACTGTGAACTCTGCATGTGAAGAGGTATTTTGCTGCTTGTGATAAGTAATTCCATGTATTCTTTTGGCTTTCTAGTATCTGTGTTGAATTATGTAGTCTTATGCTACTTGAATTCTTAAAATACATTTTTAAATCTCTGTTTTGACTTGGGTTATTTTTCGCTGCTTAATAGGTCAGGAATTCCTTCAAATTGAAGGAGATTATGAAGAAAATTCTTTTTTTGGGTAACACTTTGAACCAAGGGACTGCAAGAGGTAAGGATCTACATAGACCGTTTTCTATCCTTGTTATAATTATTTTTTTCTTGATTTGCGTATGCTGGAAAATTCTGTTTCATCTCTCATGTAGATGCTAGTTTTTCAGTAGAGAATTTTATTAATTAAACACGCAAGTGTTGTGAGAGATTTGATAATAATAACAACTGGTACATTGGATATAGAAACGGGACTACACTACAGCTTAAGTGCTACAGACACGAAGGGCTAAGGTTTTTCTTTTTTTCTTTTTTTTTCCCTATGTACATTGTAGTCGGGAGAATGCTTTCTAGTATTGCTTGTTTAGAGAGGGCTGCTGCTACTCTGTTCTTTATATTCTCTCTCTTTTCTTTTATTTTTTTTTGGAAAAAAAAACATAAATTCTTTAGTTTTATTATTTAAAAAAGAGGAAAGAAAACGATTACACCTGATCTCCGGGGAAAAAAGGGTTATACTACGCATCCATGAGAAGCACTAGTTTTTTCATCAATCGGAGAGCAAGAATTTATTTGGTTGTACTGCCTTACACTTTGGATAATTGTTTCCAAATTTATAAAATAGACGTAAATTGGACTTGGTTTACCAGTCACCTGTGCGTTTGATTCACAACTAGTACCTCAAGTTGAACGAGAAAGCAATTATGTTGTTTTAATTGCAATATTGTTTTTAACTTACCGTTTAGTTACCAGGTTATGAGGATTGTGATGGCTTCTTGGTTTAACTAAGATGAATTTATTATTTCTAGCTCTTTGTTATGGAATGATAAACAATTTCGAAATGATTCTAACTTGTACAGGTTCGGCAATTGGATTCAAATTGGATAGTCTTTTGAAGCTTAGTGATACACGTGCTTCTAACAATAAGATGACGCTCATGCATTATCTTTGTAAGGTATGGTTCTCGCATTCTTATAAGAGCAAATTTTACATCATAAACCAGAGAACATGAATTTCTTAAAAAAAAAAATAACAATAATAATAAAACAATAGTAGCCAACCTAAAATTAACATGTCAACCTAAACTCATGGATAGAGTATAGGATATCCCTAAATATTCTCGGTTGCCCAAGTTGCATCTCTGTTTGTCATGAGTTAAGAATTCTTTAAAATACATGGGCACTCAGAATTGTTCTCTGAACAATAACTAGAAGGCTTCTTATATTTCTACCTGATGCAGATTTTTTTTTTTTTTTTTTTTTTTTTTTTTTTAAAAAAAAAAAAAAAAAATATGCATCTCGAATACAAGGCTCTTCATATTCCAAATTGTTTCTCCTCAAGCCATTTGGCCTCATTGTCTAATTGTTGAATAATACATGCCTTTCTCCCAAATGTTGTTGCTTATGAGTTCATCAATGTTTTGTGTACAAAAAAGGACATTGTTAAATGTTTTGAATCTGAGATTTGGTTTTCATTTGCTCTAGGGTCTTGCTTCCAAGTCACCAGCACTCCTTGATTTTCACCTGGACCTTGTCAGCCTGGAACCCGCAACAAAGGTGCTTGTCTTTTGATTATGTTGTTAGTTTTAATCTTTAGTAATGAAGATATATTTACATGTTAAAGGCATCTTCCTTCCATTCAGATACAATTGAAGTCTTTAGCAGAAGAAATGCAAGCAATAATTAAGGGATTGGAAAAGGTCAAGCAGGAGTTGGTCGCATCAGAAAATGATGGTCCTGTGTCTGAGGTTTTCCGTAAGGTATACCTTCAGCATCTATGAAGGTTCATCATATATATCCTTCAATTGCGTTTTAGATCAATTTCAGTACTCATCCTTTTACTCTCTCTCTCTCTCTCTCTCTCTTCTACCCCCCCCCCCCCCCCCCCCCCCCCCCTGTAATTGTTGATATTACAGACACTGAAAGGATTCATTTCTGTTGCTGAGACGGAGGTGGTTTCTGTAACAAGCTTATACTCTGTGGTGGTAAGATGCAGATTATCTAATATCTTGTTGATTTTAGCATTTGGTAGAGCGTTATGGGACCGGTGTATGATCATTACCCTTTGGTCAACAGGGTAGAAATGCAGATGCACTTGCGTTGTATTTTGGTGAGGATCCTGCACGTTGCCCATTTGAGCAAGGTTAGTTCTGGATTTGACATTATCCTATGTACATCGTAACATCTTAGTTATGCCTTCATGGAGCATTGATTTTTGCCTTAGTAGTAGTAGTGTGTTTAAAGAAAGACAAAAGGACCAGGATCCTGGGAAAGAATGAAGTATATCACTATGGGGTTATTGCATTCCACTATAATAGTCATAGTTTAATTTTCATAATTCTAGATGAATCTTAACTGATAATTTTCCTTTTCTTCTTTCTTTTACCAATGTTTATGCGGTACGTGTGAATATAATGTTCTCACGTTAGCACTGTTTTGTCCAATGCAGTGACAACAACTCTCTTAAACTTTATAAGGTTGTTTAGAAAAGCACACGAAGAGAATTGCAAACAGGCTGAATTGGAGAGAAAGAAAGCAGAAAAGGAGGCTGAAATGGACAAGGCCAAGGGCGTTAACCTCACAAGAAAAACAGCAAAATAGGTGGTGATCAAATTTTTTTTTTCCCCCTTCCACCGCGTGCGAAACGGAGTTCCTACCGCCGATCAGAGGTTTGCTGCAACGTTACTAAGTTGATGGCAAAGCGCACATTGCACTAGGACCATCCTCGGATGCATCCCTTTCCCCGGTATCGGTGCAAAGGTAAGCCCTCCAAGGTGATTTAGACGAGGGGAAAGGGCTAGCTGAGCCTGTAGACCACAAAGCACAAATCTTAGCTGTACACGCGTGACAAGTTACTGTTCAATTGGATGATCGCGGTCAACTTATGACATTAGGTATCTCAGCGCATCGGAACAAATTGAGTGGTTTACCACCATTGCCTGAGAAACAAAATGTTTCTTCACATGGGGGTAATTGCCATCTTGATGTTGGATCTGGCCGCAGCCCCAGCCCCTATACGACCGTGCCGAGAGCAAGTCTAGGCGACACGGTTTTCTCAGGCTTCCACCATTCATTTGACATAATTTTTTCTTTTTGTCCAGCTCCAGAAGATTGGGATTGTAAAAATGCACTCTTTCTGGCCCGTGTACAAAGTTCTAACCCCTTAGTGTAGAATTTGATTCATTTTCCTGTAACATATGATTTAGTTGCCCTTTTTTTCCCCGTAGTTGAAATTTTTGATAGGAGCCCCCGTCAAAAGATAGATGTTTGTATAGAGTTGTAATTTTAGAAAGGAAATTAGAAAAAGACGGGTTGTAATTGTAAAATAACTGACAAATGTAGGCTGTGAGCTAGAAACTGCTTGTTTCTTTTATATCTTTATTGTTATTATTATTATCTAGTCAAAAATCCAAAATATTTTAATTCATGAAACCTCAAAAGTACAGACCCCCTTGATTCTTTTATCTTCATAATAATATCCACTCATTTGCTTGCTTGGGAGTATACTCCCATTACCTTCAACATTAAATTCAATGTCTCTTTTACACTTTTTCAGCCAAAAAAAAAAAAAAAATCAATGTTTCTTTTCCTTTTAATCCTCTTAACATGCAAATGTGCTTTCATTGACCTTAAACATGTGGATTCTTGAATAGCAACTGATGCCCATTGAAGCACGTGTATAAACAGCTCAACCGCCATGGTATAATGCGTCTTGCAAAATTCCACTGCCACGTGGCCTATTACAAAGAATCTTATTAAAAAAATGCTTATGGGAACATCATATTTATATCGCTACCTATTAATAAAAGGTAAGCCCCACACTTGAGTTTAATATTATTGGTCTATTTTCTTTTATTTAGGATTCTTATTATTGAGTTTTCTGAATTTTAAGGTCATATTCCGTTTGTCTTCTTAATTATCTCATGAATTTTAAATTAGTCCCATTTAAGTTATTTCATAAAGAAATTTTGTTAAATCAAACCGGGAAAAAAAGAGTTAAGTGTAATCATATGATTCTCATCTATTTACTTTTGATAAATATTCAAATAAAAAGATTATATGACTGTATTATTTTTTTTTTTTATCTGTTTTTAACAAAAATTTCAGCAAGAGTTAAGTGCGAATAATTAAAAATTTAATAAACAAAGTGAGAATTTTAAAATTTGAGGAGCAAATTGAAAATGACTCAAAAGTTCAAAACACTCTGGTGGTAATAATACTTATATTGATGACTCATGTTCAAAATCACGGATGCAGTATGGCATTGTTCTATCTATGAGAAGCAGTTCAAGCTTGAAAGTCAGGACCCCAAAGGATAGATCGTTGGCCTACTTGCTTCTTCTTCTGCTGATCAACGACCACAAAGGAGTACAGCAAATACTGACAATTTGTGAAGGACGCTCAAAACACTTTTGGTTTTGTTGTTTTCTTCATTGGTTTCTTTCTTTTTGAGAAGGAAAGTTCATGAACATTTAATTCCAGATGGAATGTACATATTGTTTGTATTATAGGACTCAATAGATTAGTCTCATCTGTGTCATGGATCCCATGAAAAATAACAGCACAGTAAGTGTTTTGTCAAAACTATGTTGCCTTCTAAGCTTGTCGTTTTGAAAAGTATACATGTTTCTTGCCAAGCAATTTCAACTCCAAAAGAAGATGGAAATTGAACTCAAATATATTATTGTTTTGAAAAGACTTAGCCAGTTGAAGCAACTAAATGTTCCTCTCTTTTCCTGTTTTGTGGTTTAAGCAAAAAACTGAACAACTTGTTGGTTTCGTGCATTACAAAAACATCGTTTTGAAATTCTCATTGTTCATTGTTTGAGACTTTCTTGCCCAATTATCTGAATTGCGTATTACGGTTGGAGACTAAATATGGCTCTAGTTGAACCAAAAGTAGGTCAAATCCTAAAAGTAACTCAAGGATCAATGTGCTCTGTGGTTACTTGATTATCTTGTCACTCGGGGGGTATCACAAACTTTCGGTTTTTATTAATTTTTTTATTTATTTGAGGGGACAAACTTTTGGTCATATAAACATCTTCTTGGAAGCTGGTTTGTACTTTGTATAGGGAGGCTAGGAACAACAAGAATTAAAACAACAAGGAACTTGCAAATGGTTTTTTATGAAGAAAATGTGTGTTGGTTGGTTGCTTTCTCACAACTGAAAGAGTTAAGAATTAAAAAAAAAAAAAAATCATTTTCCCACTGTAGCACATTGGTTAAATAAAAAAAATGAAAAAAAAATGTGTCATAGAGGGAAATTATTACTACCGATTTCTCAAGAACTCAAAATTTGTCATGTAAAATTGTGTCGATCCCTCTACAATATTCGTTTGTCCGCTCAAATTCTACTCTTCAGTCTTCATCGAGTTGGCTTTTCTTAGATGGCTGGTAGTTTTTCTGTACAATGGCGGGTACAAGCAGCCCCCAGGTTTGAAGACCTATTTCGAATTTCATAACTTTTTTTTTTTTTAGATTCATATTCACTAAAAATCTCAGAGTAAAGATGAATGGATCCCTTGATAACATTTAGCAGGTCCCATAATTGACATTAAAATTTGTGATTGGTTAAAAAAAAATAAATAATGAAAGTTAGTATAGCTTTAGTTACAAGTGTCGTACATTTTTTTAATCATGATCCATTGGTCTTTCCCCAAAAAAAACAACACCACCAATAATGACGATGATGATGATGATGATGATGATGATGATTCATTGGCCTAATGAAATTGCAGTATTTCATTACAAAACGAAAAAGCTCTGATCCAAAGAAACCTATGTATTATTCACACTGTAACAAGGAGAAAAACTTGGTAAAATCTGTATACAATTTCCTTTCGTAACAACTATTTTGCCTCTCCTGTTGTGGGGTATATCCCCCCTGCAGGTCCTTAAGTGCTGGAAATTGCTTGGAGCCTCTCCAAGCAAAAAAAAAAGAAAAAAAGAAAAAAAAAAGATATCAGTATATCCTTGCTAGATAACAAATGATCTTTTAATTTGTTTGCATTCATCTGCACCCTTTACAAAGGAATAAAAGAAAGAGAGTTGACTTTTTGTGTTGGTTTCTCAGAACATGAAAAATAAAAAATTTTAAAAAAATCATGGAATTTCTTCCAAATTCTTCAAACTGGCATAGCCGCTTTTCTCATCACGATGATCTCCATCTTTGGCCCCACAAATTCTTTCCTCTTGATCAATCAGAAACCCCACTTGGCAACTTCTGCAGAACATGATGTTCACAACAGTGTCAATCACCACAAGAATTGAGTACAAGTAGAAGATCAAAATGCTTTCCAAAACCATTGAAGATCCAAGCTTTCCATGGACATGATAAGCTCTAACAACTCTGTATTGGAACAAAGCCTCTAATGCAGCCAAAGTGAGATTCAAAGGCAGAGCTAGAGACAAAGCTGTTGAAATTCTTCCCTTTATCAGGACACAAGCTTTGAGGGTGGCCAAGTATCCACCGCTCCTTTCCATGCCTGACAAAACAAGCGCCAAATTGCATGTTATGAGTGTGTTTGCAAGGACTATTGAGTACAAAACAGCCCCGGATGCCGAGAGAAAGAGGACGGTGTTCGGGGAGTTGAAACTGAGCCCGTCGAGGACATTGAAGGCAAAGAAAAGGAGAGTGAAGACTGTTGCATTGGCAGAGAGGATCAGGAGAGAATTGCATATGTAGGTTATGAAAAGTGGATCGTAAAGGGACAGGATTGAAGAGAAAGAAGGTCGGGAGGCGGGTTTCGGAGAGGTAAGAGATTGGATTACATAGGCTTTGGATAGGAGGAAGAATGTGAGAGTAAAGGGAAGTGTGAAGATTGATAAAGAGATTGTCTGGGAGAGCTTCTGATTGAGAATTGTGAAGAATTCCGAGGAGTGTGGGAAGCCGGCGGCATCGAAGAGGTTGTCGAGGCGAGTGTAAATGGTGGGCAAAAGAGAAGAAGATGATGATGAAGGGAAGATCAAGGCTTGTGAGAGGAGGATTGAGGCTGAGAAAGGCAAGGCCAAGAGAGCTGCTTTTGAGGTGAAATGGTGGTAGTTTTGGAGGAATGTGTAGATTGATCTTCTGAGGATCTTACAAGATTTCTCCATTCTTGTTGTTGTTGTTGTTGGGCTTTGATCTTCTCTTGCAATGCAAGGGAGAGATGATGTATAAGAATGAAAATGGTAGAGTTATATGAAAATATGAATACTATGTTAATGTGTATTGGAAGGAGGAGAGGGGCTATAAAGCATTGGTTTTTTCTCCACTTTCCCAAGTGTATTTTGTTTTTTTAATTGGGGTATAGTCTCTCTCTCCCTCCCTCCCTCCCTTTTTTTCTCTCTCTCTCTAGAGTCTTAATGGTTGGTTAGAGGAGAGGGAATTTAGAGGTTGAATGGACTGGTTGGTGTTTTTGGTTGAATGGACTGGCCAACAACTAAAAACTAACCCAAACAAAAAAAGAGCAGGATTGGAGTTGTTTTTACCTATGACACTCTTTTGGACTCTTTTGAGTTTCTGGCCTTTCTAATTCTCCTGAATCACTTCTTATTAATTGGCTGAAGGAGTCATAATGAAATGAGCACTTTTTTTTTTTTTTTTGCCCCTAGTGCAAAGTTTGTAAACGAAAGTAAGAAACCGTTTTATTGTGCTTGGCTTTGATATGCAAAAGAAACGCTTTTTTTTTTTTTTGGATTGCTTTCATGGGGCATTATTTTGTTTTTAAATGCTTCTTCCATCATATCATTATTTCCATCTTAATGTTAATGCTTGTTATTAACGAATTGCTTTAAATATATAAATCATTGCTATTTTATCGATAGAGTAAAAATAAAATAAAATAGGAAGCCAGATTTCATGAATTTGGAATTTGCACTTAGAGATACTAGGTAACAAGATAAGATTTGCAGTAACTAATTGAATAATTCAACCCCAATTATACGGAACTAAATCCGGAAGATAAAAGCAAAAAAGAAAAAAAAAAAAAGGATTATATTCAAGGTTTTTTTTTTCAAGTTGTTTTAAAGTAGGGCCATCAATCCTTAATTTGAGATGTTTCACGTGGCAAGTGAATGATTCTTAGCTTGCAAGATAATTATAATTATAACAGCAAAAGGAAATTGAAAGCATATAAATATATATATCTTAAATAGAGATGGGGTAGACCAGATAGGTTTCCTTCTATTTCTATCAACAATTATTAACAACAAATTATTAACACATCATTTCTTCATTAAATCCGTGCCATCCATTTTTTCCAAATCAAATCACAAATGGGTATTTTTACCCATTTATTAGTAGTCCATAAAATGATTGATGCTTATGTGATTATAAATCCTAATCCTTTATGTATGATTTTATCATGGTATAGAGCCGAGCCAAGCCAAGCTATGAAGTGGGTTCTTTAGCAAAATAATAAGAGAAAATTATTAAAATTACTTTTTTAAAGTGTATAGTTTTAAAGTTTTACTTCTTATTTTTGATTAATATCTTTCTAATTAATATAGTTCTTTGACTAAAAAGAATATTAATTAAAAATAAGAGGTAATAATCTTGAATCAAACACTTTAAATGGTATTATTATAAATAAATAAATAAAATACAAAAATATCTCAAAAGATGTCGTCTTTACATTTATGCCATCTACTGATATAAATTTAAAATCTATGCCACGCAATTCATAAGAAAATATCCTATTAGATTTTTTTTTCGTATCTAATAATAACTGCCTATATCAGGTTCGGTATTTGGAGAGTTTTTTGGTAAAATCAACAAAGATAACGAGAGATTACATGACATAAATGTAAAACCGCTGGATATTGATGGCTACATAATTTTTTTTTTTTAAAAATGTTGAACTTATTCTTAAAGTATATGGGTCTAGATTTTTATCTCTTATCTTAATTAATATTATTTTAAATAATATAATTATTTGACTAAAAAGAGTACTAATTAAGAGTAAGAAAATAAAAATTTAAACTCGAGGTGTTTGTTTCAATTCCCCCACCAAAAGGACAAAAATAAATAAATAAACAAATAAATAAACCTATGAAGTGGGTTGGGGCTGACTTGTGCTGGGTGGGCCCTTATGGGCCCAATGAAATATACAGACTTTCGATCTCGATGGTGGAGTTTCCCTGATGACGTGACACTTAAAATTGATTAGATTAATTTTGAAGGAATATAAAGGTACTACTACTTTCCAATTACTTTGGTGGGGTGTCACCTTCTAACTGAAAGAAGATTACACGGGAAAAAAGACAGAATTAGGAGTAAGAATTAAATCACAATTAATGTCTTAATAGAAGCATAAGATATTAAAACAAAAAGGAAAAGAAACTTTAATTGGACTGTTATAAATGATTAGGTTTGTATGCAAATGGCTTCAGGCCTTTATGAGGTCACATGTTTCTATTTCGTGAGGTGGCTTCTTCTAACGTTTGTTTGTTAGGAAATGGTATTTGTCCTAACAAATTATTAATTAGGTCAATTTGGTGTCTAATTTTTTAGTGGTATTATTTGGAATTTAGAATAGATTCCTCCATAATGTAATGAGGGTTTGGCAAGTTGGGAATCAAATTCAATGATGATGTATATTTCGTACAAAGGAGTAAAACTTTGTGTCGGTTTTGGTTTTGTTGTTGCAAGTAGGATTCAAACCAAACCCACGTCCTAATTTGAAAATTATCTAAAACCCACAACATATATCATATATATATATATATATATGTATATATATGTTCCTTTTCTAGAAAAACAAAAAATGCCAAGTAAAGGATTGATCATTGTAAAAGAATATGTTAGTGGGTTATAGGTTGAAATTAAATTGCAAATTGCCCATATCCTTTTTAGGAGTTTGAAGGAAAATTTCATATCTATATTAAAACTTGAAATTACAGGTGGTGTTGCATGGAACCATATCATGAAGCTTCTTCAAAACATAGATAGGGTACTGTTTTTCCCCAACAGGAAACCACTCTATTTCAAGCGAAGAAAAAAACACAAACCAATTCAAACAACATGGTCTAGGCCTAAGAGGAAAATATTTTGTGTAGTGGAGTGAAAAAAAATTAAGGGCTGATTTCGAATTTAGCTACTGAAAAATAGTGGTCGTCACACTTTATCTCCTACAATTTAAAATGATATAAAATTGACACTCGATTTTATTAAAAGTTGTAACTTTGATACTTATGTCGCTAAAACGTTAATATTTTATAATTTTGAACGTGTGTATTGACTAGTTAACAAAGGGAAATATAATAAATTCAAATGAAATAGACTTAAAATTTTGAAAAGTAAAAAGAAAAATGAAAAGTCGCAAATGCTTTAACTCTTAATGCCGCCTCTTCTTTTACTCAAAATTCCAATTATCATTACCCTCATATATTGTTTTATACAAATGAGTCACGTGACATGTATGTGTTTAAAATTATTACAAAATTGACATTTCCTTAATGGATGTATCGAAAATTGCTACTTCTAACAAGATCGAGGGGCCAATTTTGTGCCATTGTAAAAGTCAAACTACTTAACCCAAAAATCAAAGAAACATATTGAAATATTTATCTTTTTTTTTTTTTTCCTGGTAATCAACTTGTATATTTTCCTTGAAGATGGTATAACGTACTAATCTACTAACCCATCAATTCTTTATTTCCTTGGTTCCTTCCAAAAGACAAGAATCTTCTATGATGATTAAAAATTGCAGAATATCCGAATATATATAATTTAGATTAGTTTGGAAGGCTAATATTGATTAATTAGTTAGAACTATAGCATCAAATGAGTTAAAGCAATCACATCCACAATACCAATAGAAGCGGACGAGATAATCATAATAATATTTTAATTTTTGTCATGCACATGTATATTCTTTTATATATGAGAATTAGAATAGAAGACTTTTCTCAGATATTGTTTAAAATGCGTGAGGATATGAGTTCTTATCTATTAAAATAGTAATTAAAATATTATTAAAAAAAGACAATTTTTCAGTTTTAGTTTTCTATATTGAGATTTGGTGTTTTTTTTTATATATTTTTTTTATTTTAAAGAGGCAATCTATTTGAAGGATTTGAAGTCACAATCAACAAGTATATGTATTTTAAGAAACATATAATGGAAAACTTATTTTTTATTTATGCACTTGTTCTACATATTGTATAACTTATTTTTCTCTAATTCAAAAAACAAATAAAATGGCTTTCGTGGTTCAGACATATTAGTTGAGTTTATGTATCAATTAATGTACATTCAAAAATGGGTCTGATCCGAAATTCTTTTTTTGAAACATTAACAAAAATAAAAACATTAATTTGTTTAATTTTCAACCATAAGTTGATTGGGTTAGCTTATCCAGATGAGGATAATGATGAAGAAAATGAAAATGATACAATGTCGTTGACCATTTACCTAACTCAGCAATATATTAATTATGCTTAGACTTAAAATGTGCTTGATTTGTAAAGAGTCATGCATGTTTCCAAGTTTTATTAGCTTAAAATTATTAAGACCGTTCTTAATGTGTCTTTCTTTGTGGGGTGACTAGTCCAAATTATGCAAGTTTTTTTTTCTTAATTTTTAATATCACCGGTGTCTCTGAATTTTAGAGTCATTTTAAGTTTGTTCTCTGAACTTTAAAAGCTCTAACTTTACCTTCCCGATTTTTAATTTGTTTCCACTATTAGAATTTTTGTAAAAAACACATGGAAAAAAACAGAGTAACGTAGTCACATGCTCATTCTTTTTGAATATCTATTAAAAGCAAACAGATAAAAAGCTAAATGACCATATTTAATTCTTTCTTTTTTCCGATCTGATTTTAATATTAATTCATAGAAAAGAGTAAATGAGATTAACTTAAAATTTAAAGATAAAATGAGAATTTTTAAAATTTAAGAGATAAATTGAGAATAACTCTAAAATTTAAAGAACACCAGTAATAATAATCTTTAAAAAAAAAAAAAACACTATGCAGCTTGTTATGCTTGAACAATTCCAATCTCCAATTCTGTTGCATTGTTTTTTTTTTTTTTCCCTGGTTGTAAAAAGGGATTTTATTTAAGGTGATTTGTACATTCACCCCTAGCATGTACAATTTTTGACAACTTGCCATTTAAACTTTTAATTTTGATAATTTTCTCCCTAATTTGCAAAAACAGCTGTTGCCAAGCTTCTG